CACACGGCCCTTATCATGTCCCATACCATCCAAATCCAGCTATGGTTTCTGCTTTGTGTTCAAACTAAGAGGCAACCTCCGGTGCTAAATAATGCTAATGCCAACGGAAAGATCAGAAACGGCAGATCCTTGAGTGGACACTGATGCTAGCTCTAAATAGCAATAGCCTAACTTTGCAATAGCACAAATAAATAAGTTAACAGCTCGCAAGAAGAAGAAATGGCATCTAAATGTAATTTTCCTTTTTCTTGACAACTATAAAAGGGATAACTAATATATAACCTAGCTATTCAACTTATATTCAGGCCTAAAGTGAAGGATACCTTAGGTTGCAAAAAGAAGTTTGGTTTTATAGAAGTCTATGAGAAAATAACCCCTTCTTCTCTATACATTTTTTTACTCAATACAATGTTGTCCCGACAAATGTAGAGTCTCAATCCCTAGTTGTCAGTTTTCTCAAGCAAAGCATGAAGTTCATTTAGCAAATTATTGTTGCATTTAGAGTAACAAATACAAATTAGGGTATACTTTATAACTTTTATCCATGTATTTTTTCTTTTAATGTTTCTTTTATTATCTTTTCTTTTTAATGACTGATTTTAAATGCCATTTTCTTAATGTCTTTCGTTTTTTGTAAAGCACTTTGAATTGCCTTGTGTTGAAAGGTGCTATATAAATAAACTTGCCTTGGCTTTAGGGCCGGGCGACCTTGGGTTTGACTTGACGGTAACACAGTGTTTTCCAAGTATGAATGTTGTCTGTGTTTTTTTGTCTGTTTACAAAAGTTATTGTAACAATTTTTGTCGAGTAAAAACGTCATGTTCAGTGTTAGGTTGCTCCACCATCCCAAGTTGCAATAAACTAAGCTGGTGACGGCTAAAATGCCAGGGTTTCAAAACAGTAGTCAACAAACTAATGGTTAGTGTTACAGTGACTAGGTCCACTTTGCACAAACAGTCTATGGTTCTCACCTTGGTTACCCAAGTCACACCACAACAGGAAGTTGCAGGAGGAAAATAATGATTGGTATTTTCAGGATTACAGCACGGCAGACAAATCATTGCATACTCAATGATTTGGCCCCCCTAAGAACAACCAGGGTAAAACATCGCGCTGAGCCGTGGATGCACTCCGGCATACTGACCGCCATGAAAACCAGAGACAAAAAATGCTCTGAGTTTCATAAAAGTCAGTCAATGCTTTCCAAAAGCACGAGCAGTGAACTCCAGGCCCACGTGACTGAACTCAAAATTGAAAGAAACAGACTAAGAAATGACGTAAGCTCCATGATCAAAACTGCCAAAAATAATTTCATCAATGTCAAAACTGAGGAAAACAAAAATAAACCCCGTGAACTTTGGAAATTACTCAATAACCAGCTTGGCTGCAGTAAAAAACTCAAAACGAGATTTTCTAACTTAAACATAAAGACAGATAACAGGCTCATCACAGACAAACTGGATGTGGCCAAGTACTTGAACATTTTTTTCACAAACATAGCCACAACTCTTGTAAATAAATTATCCTCCCACTCAGGGCTTTTTGGAGTAGATCACATCATGACCTACTACAAAAACCTAGGGGTACGCAAAGATGATTTCAGTCTAGCAAGGGTAACAACAGCAGAGGTACTCATTAAACTGAGCGCCCTCCAACCTAACAAGGCCACTGGCCACGACAATATCCCCTCCAAATTCCTCAGAGACACAGCAACCGCCATCTCACCAGTCATAGCTCACATAATTAACCTCTCCATAAAACAGGGAAAAGTACCCAAAGACTTCAAAATTGCAAGAGTAACCCCCCTGCACAAAAAGGGCAGCAAATTGGACCCAGGCAACTACCGCCCTGTTTCTATACTTACCTCCATCTCGAAAGTCATGGAAAAAATAGTATATGAACAGGTCGAAAAGTACCTCGCGGAAAAGAAACTAATCTATGAATTTCAATCTGGCTTTAGAACATCCCACTCCACTGACACATGCCTTCTTTATTTGAGCGACCACATCAACAAGAGGTGGACGAGGGCAAGTACTGCGGCATGGTGATGCTGGACCTACAAAAGGCTTTCGACACTGTCAATCACCCCATTCTGATTGACAAGCTAAAAGCAATTGGTTTTGATAAACTATCGGTGAGCTGGATGCAATCCTACCTGGAGGGGAGAGAACAGATGGTGGAGGTAAATGGTACTCTGTCCCCCCCCCTCCCAGTGAGCTGTGGTGTTCCACAAGGAAGCATATTAGGTCCGTTACTGTTCCTAATTTATGTAAATGACATGTCATCAGCATGTGACTGCAACTTGTTCCTGTTCGCGGACGACTCAGCCCTGCTGGTCTCTGACAGGAACAGGTTGCAGGTTGAAAAAACTCTCAGCTCCGAGCTCGGCAGAATCTGCACCTGGCTCGCCGATAATAAATTATCATTACACCTGGGTAAAAACAGAGTCCATTCTCTTCGGTTCGAAACATAATCTCAGCAAATCCGACGACTTCTCAGTTGCAGTGGGCGACATTATTGTCACAAGTAAGAAGGAAATTACATACCTAGGATCTATTCTTGAGGCAAACCTCTCCTGTGACAAAATGGCATCCAATGTAATAAAAAAAGTCAATCAAAGAACTAGATTCCTATACCGGATCTCCTCTCTGGTAAACAAAAACACCCTGAAAACTCTGGCAGGAGCACTCATTCAAGGGTACTATGACTATGCTTGCACGTCATGGTACCATAGCACCTCCAAGGCGCTAAAAATAAAACTTCAAACATCGCAAAATAAACTGGTCAGACTACTGCTTGACCTTTCATCTAGAACCCACCTCACCTCTGCCCACTTTGACAACCTAGGATGGCTTAGAGTAGACGACAGAGTACAGCTACTTGCAATGGGCCTGGTCTACAAGATCCACTACATCTCTATGGTACCCATGTACATGTCAAAATTCTTCCCAAAGGTCAAGGAATACCATGATCATAACACCAGAGGGAGCTCCACAAATCATGTGAAACCCAGATTTGGCACAAAAAAGGGGGAATACACGTTTCGCAATGATGCCACATCAAGGTGGAACGCTCTTCCCACAACTGTAAAGGAAAGTAAAACTATACTTACCTTCAAAACCTCTCTTAAAGAGCACCTTCGGGGGAGAGCATTGCAAAACTGGCCCCGGTAATGGTACAAATCTCAACCTGTCGTTCAATGGACAGCTTCCCCCCCCCCCATCTATGTATATACTCGCATTTTAGACTCTGTTACTAACTGTATATCTGTAGACTTGGTATGTCTTAAATGTCCGGTTAGGATGTATTAGAACGAAATCTAAAATGAAAATTGTAAACAAGCAATCTGTATGTAAAAAACCACCTGTATGTAAATTGTAAATAAGCCAAATGTCAAATATGTCTTATATGTCTTAAATTACATGATGAATTGGAAATGGGGGACCCTGATGTAAACAAGACGAAAGTCTTTCTCTGGTCTGCATCCCCTTAACAATTGTATGTTTTGAGCTGTACTGTACTGTACCCAATATACAAGCTGTTAATAAACTTTTCAATCAATCAATCAATCAGACCATGAAGGTGTGAAAACAATTGCATTAAATCAACATCAGACTTGTGGTGTCCTTGAATGCATCTGACCTGATTTACTTGACTTATAAACGGATTGATAATGAAACCATGTGGGTCACTATAGAAATGCAGCTTCCCAAACTAGTGTCTTCTTCCTATCAGTGACATATTTCTTCAGAATACAACAACGAAAGTGCATAAAAGGACAAGAAAAGTATGACTCTTCCCTTCCCATAGTTGGCTTCAATGGGAGAGGTCTGACCTATCTCACACTCTGATGGAGCAAAGGGACCGAGCCATCTTTTATTTGAACTTAAACAACAATGAGTCAGACATCAAACGGGTAGCAACTTCTTGGCTTGTCACTGGAGGGGCTGATTTCCCAGAAAGGCAAATAATCACTCACACTTCACCATGGGTTATTTCGTGAGTCTGTGGTCAACTTTTAGATAATGTTGACATCATCTGGATTTGTCTTTCAGTTCTCTAACAAATTGAACTAGGGGGGGAAGGGGGGTAATGTTGGTTTATGAATCCATCATCATTATCAATCCTGAAAATATGCAACCAAAGCAAAACAGAATAAGGCGGTGTAGATGATGACAGGGAGCGCATCAGGCCCCGGGGAAAACCTCTGTGACATGAGCGTGCATGTGCAGCAATTTAATGACACATTGAAACAAATGAGATGTTCTTGTTTGAATCAGTCAGCGGAACTCCAGTGGTGGGAATTAACTGCATTTACTCAAGTATTGTACTTAAGTGCTTTTTTGACAATGTAGGCCTACGTGAATATTTCCATTTTATTCTATGTTACAGCCTACCTTTATTCCACTATATTTCAGAGGCAAACATTGTACTTATTACTCAACTACATTTATTATACAACACATATGCTAATATGGTACAATGCTGTATTGCTAATCTACAGTATTTCAACCATCTAACTTTGGTCCAAAATTACAACACTAAAATGCTCTTACATATATAAAAACAGGGTAATATAATAAACATAACAATATGAATACTGTGAAAATAGCCATTCTGCAAAACGAGTGCTCAAACTTCTGTACTTTTAAGAAGGGAACATTTTGAAATCAGGACTTTTACTTGTAATGGAGTATTTTAGGACCATAGTATTTGTACGTTTACTTAAAGGATCTGAGTACTTCTTCCACTGCTGAACTGAATAAAAAACAAACCATACTTTAAAAGAGAAAACAAATCAAACCCACCCTATCATTTTGGAAATTAATGTAATCGTTATGAACACAAAGTGACACGTCTGATGTCTGGCTCGATGACACGCGTGGCTGTGACCTCTTTCCTCACTCATAATTAATGTAAGACTAAATGGAGAGGTGGGGGAAATCCCTCCCCCAGCAGGGTGGGGTGATGGCGGGAGTGTCCGAGCTGCAGGAGTCACAGTGTGGAGGAGATGAAGTTCAGGACGCAACACAAAGTGGATGTAAAGAGAAACCGTGATTGGAAACGTTTATACGGGAGAGGACGATATATCGACTTTGCATTTACGTCGAAGATATCCCATGTTTGGCAAACACATAATTTGCTCGAGTGCATCGATACGCAGGAAAGATAATTACTTTCTAAATAACTTCAACTATCGTCCATCAACCGGGATGTATAGATGAGACAAGTTATTCCATCAGGTAAGTTCAATTACTCTTATCTGCAGCAGTATCAGTCATTGAAGACACCTTTCCTACTAGCTTACCTGCTGGTCTATAAAAGTTCATCATTCAATTCAACTTTGGGAAACGTTTCCAAAACAGGAAAGCTGAAATCGCAAAAAAAAAAAAACAACTAATTGTTTCAACTAAAATAGTGTTTAAAAGTGTTTACATTTTGAAAAAATAAGAATACCCAATAGGTCCACATCCTTGTGTATTTATTAATCTTGGACACACCTCCCACATCAAGATTAAATGACATGTTAAACTTCTGGATACATTTGTAAGCTTTTAAATCGAGATGTTTAACAGGCTACACTCAGAGATGTATCCAATTATGGTTGTAGTCAATCATACTTATAAACATGTATCGCACATTATGTATTAACAACAGTAACTGCCACAGCTGTTTGTTTAGTATTAACATGACAATAACAAAGTAGTTGTAATCTTATCTACAGTTTATTCTCTTTATACAAGTCTGTGTTATTTATATTCTCTTATATGAAATCTGCTACCTTAGCTAGGACAATAAAGGAATGAAATGTTAGTTATGCAGTTTTTTGTTCGATATGCACCTTTTTAACTAATACTTTTATATGTAAGAGTCCTTCTATGTATATCTTTCTTAGATAAAGTATCCAAAAGGTTGTTGAATGTAATTTTTGTGACTTTAAAGTGTTGGATATAACTTTAAATATACATATTCTCTCTCTTACAGGTCTTTCAGGAGGCTGTAAGATGCCAGCTGTTACCCTGCCAGGTTAAGCATCCTCTGCTGTGTCCAGTGTTGTGGCGCCCTCTGCTGTCTGACCCAGGAAGGCCAAAGAAAGGCCAGTCAGGATGGGGAACATGGTGGAGGAGGGGATGAACACTGTCATCGTGAGCCACTACAACCACTCGGGGAAGTGGGAGCGGCCTCGCAGCAGCGGGGCCTGCAAGATGGCCGTGCTGCTCTTCATCTGCTGCCTCATCGTCCTGGAGAACGTCACGGTGTTGCTGGCTCTCTGGAGGAACAAACGTTTCCACAGCCGCATGTACTTCCTCATTGGGAACCTGGCGCTGTCAGACCTCTTGGCCGGCGTGGCCTATGTGGTCAACATCTTCACCTCGGGACGCAACACCTTCTTCCTGACCCCGGTGCAGTGGCTGGCCAGAGAAGGCAGCATGTTCGTGGCCCTCAGTGCGTCCACCTTCAGCCTCCTGGCCATCGGGATTGAGAGGCACATGACTATGGTGCGTTTGCGTCCCTGTGAGACAGCAGGTCGCGGGAGACTTCTGGGACTGTTGGCAGCCTGCTGGCTTGTGTCAGTGCTGCTCAGTGCCTTGCCCAGCCTGGGGTGGAACTGCCTGGACAATATGGCCTCCTGCTCCACCGTGCTGCCGCTCTACGCTAAGAGCTACGTGGCCTTCTGCATCAGCGTCTTCAGCGCCCTGCTGGTGGCCATCATCATCCTGTACATCAGGATCTACCGCCTGGTGACCTCCAGCGGCCGCAGGGTGAGCAGCCAGTCAGAGCACTCTCTAGCCCTGCTGAGGACAGTGGTTATTGTTCTGGGAGTGTTTGTCATGTGCTGGACGCCCCTCTTTCTCCTGCTGCTGCTGGATGTTGGCTGCAGCCCAGATAAATGTCCCGTGCTCTTCCAGGTGGATTGGTTCATCGCCCTGGCTGTGCTCAACTCGGCCCTCAACCCTCTGATATACACTCTGTCCAGCAGGGAGATGAGGGCGGCCTTCTTCAGGCTGCTGTGCTGCTGTCAGACCAGCATGGAGCACACAGGGACCGCCGTGCTGGGAAACCCCAACCTGGGAACAGTCATCCCCACAGCGGAGAACAGCAAGACCAGTGCAGGGGGGGGCAGTGGGCCGGGGAAGACCACGCTGCAAAGAGGGAAGGTTCCCAAACCTATGCACTCAGAAAACAAGAATGGAGACCCCTCAGCCACTGCTCTGCCACTCCCCTCTGGACCTGCAGACCTGCTCTCAGCTGTGCTCGTGAAGGCGCTGCCGCCACTCAACAAGTTCTGAGTGGAAGCACATTGTGAGGAGTTACAGTCACACAGGAGTAGACTTAGTACTAGGGCTGGGCGATAGGGATTAAATACAATATCACAACATTTCTGATCAAATATATTCGATATTGCGATGATCATGTAGACTGATGAAGACCATTGGTGCTTTCATAAAGTATTTACATAATGAGATTTTTATGAAATAATCATTGTTTATGTGGATATAATGTCTAAGTGGCCTTAATAGAACAGCCAGAAACAGTTTGGTTGGTTAAAAAAATGACATCACTTAAAGTGCATGTTGTAAAGCCAGCAAATGACAAGTTATAATAATAAAGATAACTAATGTAAGATATGATATCTAGTCTCATATCAATATAATATTGATGAATTGCCCAGCCCTACCTTGAACTGACATTGTCCTGCTATCAGCCACTTTTTGTTTATGCACTATGGATCGGATGAAGTAATGATATTCAGATAAAACCAGATAACAATCTTCTAGATCATTCAAAGCCACTAGTATTTATAACAACTCAATGATATCAATCACAACACCAGAGTTACTTGTTTTTGTCTAACACAATGATTTATGTTGCACATTTCAAAACTAACAAGCACAACAGTTTGGGTTAAAGCAAGCACCAAATTAAATATGTTGTCCTCATTCATTTCTGTGAAACTTGGTAATGTTTTAAACAACAACACTATAATTAATTGTATAAATGTCAATGTGTTCATTTTTACTATGTCATTATAATCAGAAATGATCAAATCGGAGTGCTTGTTTTACATGTGCCATATGCAAATACTCTACCTGTAATACTACCTGTATTTTGCATTACACCTTTACTTTGTAAATTATTTATTTTCTGTGAAAACATTTCCCATTTTAACACTATTGGTATACTTGTCTAGTATACTTGTTTGGTATATTTTGTGTGCATAAAACCCTTCATGGTACTAGGATTTGGGTAGGATTGAGATGCACGGTGAGAGAAATCCAAAGATGTGTTTGTCAGACCAGCGACCTCATGAGGCTGTGAAACTCATTACACAACATAAATCAAAAGTGTTGGAAGAATAAAACATGGCGAGACAACATTGTTATTTCCAGAGTCTCACCACTAATGGACAAGCGAGTAAAGACTGTCTTGAGGGTGGTGCTACAGGAAAAGTGATTTACTCAAATCAGTAGGGTTTAACTTCTGTATGGCGGCCATTTTTTGCCATTTTAGGTTCAGTTCTATATTTCTAGAACTGACTCCTTTCCCATTTGTCTTTACTCTGTCAGCATCATCTAAATAAGCGTGGCTAAAAACAACACTCATTGACATGTTTGCTTCTCATCAGCACATCTAGAAACCACTCACACGTCAACTAACCACTATAGCGATAGGAGTGCTGGATGTGAATTATTTAATGGTGGTAGACTGCAAATGACATTTCTGCCTTGGGTGGTGTAGTGCCTGATACCGTTATATAGCAAATAAAATAAAATCCTATTCCCTTTTATGAGATTTTCATACGTGTCCTGTTTTTATATTAAATCGATGTCTTGCCTGCTTTCAACCCCCTTCTTCTCATCCTGTGTAACCGTGTCATTGCTGCTCCTCTGCAAACATTATCAGGATAAATATTCAGGCAAACCAGGGATAGTGATTTTGTCCGTATATTTTGTGCGCCAAATGAATGGTTAATGTTTGCTTGGATCAGTCTGTTGTCGCCACATGAAAGCCTAAAGGGACAGTTGATCAACAAATCGAGAATACATATTGTTCCTCTCACTTTAGTTCTATTCATCAATATAGATTGATAAATGCCAAGTGTTGAAGGTACAGTATTAGATAAAGAGATGTTGGCCTTTTCTTTTGATGTAAATAAACTGCTTAATTCATTCTAATGACACTTGACCTTTGGTGCTTAAAGCCTATAAAAAAAAGACATCTGAAAACTCAACGGGAATGTCTCTCTTCAGAAATCATGACACAGTTAATGCATGTTAAACACACAAACATAAGAACATTAACAATAGTCAATTCACTTTTTAGTAATTATTTACATTTGAAAACTAAAGGAAATATTTTTTCCAGAAGTCATGACCTCATAACTTATAATAATCTACAGTCCTTTTGGGAGTGGTTTCATTAAGGACCTATTTTCTTTCTACCAAAACACACCATGCTTGTGTCAGCATTAGATTTAAAGAGACCCTATTATGCTTTCACTTTCCAGTAGTGTGTTGTGTAGGTTTTTGTGGACGTAAATGGTCTGCAAAGGCTAAAATCCCAAAGTTCAAAGCACTTTTTGAGTATTAAAGCATGTGAACATGTCACAGTAGAGGCACAAAATACAAACATTAACCTGAAATTGTGTACAAAAAAGCCCCTTTAAAATAATCCTTGGCTCTCATTAGTTTGCTCAGGTAAACAGGCGTATAAGAGCACAAGCCTCTCTTCCATGAGTAGAAATATGCTGATATGGTTGGTGGGTGTAGAAAATAGTTCCTACATGAAGCTGCTCACAACCATGTCTGTCGATTATTTTAGAGTAACAGTGTCGTGATATCTGGATAGAGACATTTCAGTATTTATTTTGTACTTTTTGCACCACAAACTAGTTCCATTATATTCCTGGGAAGTTTCCAGATTTCGCAACTACACAAACATCTATGTAGAAAGAAAGAAAATAATTGCTTGTTTATGTTAACTGTCCCTTTAAGCCATAAAGGCTCTGATATCAGATTATCATTTGCTTTTCAAACAGAAGATAAATGTCATATGATTGAACCTGCTGCACTCATCTAAAATCCTGATGGTAAGCTCACTGATGTTCTCTTATTGCCCTTCATAAGTAGACCTGGGTCAGCCTGTGATGAATAATGCAGAGAAACTCTTGATATGTATTTTAACTAGGAGCTTTCACCTCGACGAGGTCAGATATTAGTCATGAAGGATATTCATTTTTCTTTGAAGAGCTTCCTGAAAAATCTACCGTCATGGTATAAATCTGAAATGTGACAACACCTCCAGTTATTGAGTATGTAATAAGTATGTAAGTAAGTGTGTATCATTAAGGAATGATTGTCTGAGGTTTTATTCATGTTATCCATTTAATGATAACAATGATGATTCAAACATTTACAGGATGTGTTCCCGATGAAGAAAAGGGTTTAGATGTTAGTGTTATTAACTGTGATAAATGCTCAGATACTTCTTGTCAATACTTATGATGCCAATACTTAATGGATGCGTTGGTTTTTCCGAGAAACCTGCATCAGTGAAGGTTACTTTGACTTGAATCACTAGATGGGCCGATTGTAGCAGAGTTTTTTTTGTTTACACCAGTTTGCACAGCTCAGATTAGACCGGAGCTGACAGACTGGCATTTCATACTCACCTGAGCTAAAGGACGTGTCTCTGCTCAGCACCTCCGGATCTGATGGAAAAAGACAATACCAGCCAAGCTTTTCCAGCTTAAAGGTCACTTGCTGTTTCCTGTCAGAAATGTTCGAACACCCTCTTTCCTGAATTAGCCGGGGATGATGCTCGAAGTATGAGATCTGGAACATTAGGAAATGCCAAAAGTCAGTGAATCTCTCTCCTTTTGCTCATTTAGTCTGTTTCCCCCTTCTATATCAACACCATCCTGATCCAAATCCTAATTACATTGAGTCTGATTCAAATAATACTAATAATAATAGATTTAATTTGTTAGCGCTTTTACAGGTGCTCAAAGACGCTTTACAGATATAGTGAAGATAAAATAAAATAAAGGAACAACAAATAAATATATAGTTAAAGTTAAAGTCAAATAATACAAAAACAATCACACATTAAAAGCCAGATTGAAGAGGTGAGTTTTTGTGAGTTTTTTGAAGGTGGTGAGGTCAGTGCAGTCTCTGATGGGTTGTGGGAGTGAGTTCCAGAGGGAGGGGGCAGCGACGGAGAAGGCTCTGTCCCCCCAGGTCCGGTGATTGATGCGGTTGGGGATGGATAGGAGGTCTATGTCTATGTTGTCAGAAAACAGTTTTGCAACAAAAGAAAGATGAATAAAATCCAGTAGATTTGAACTCTTCAAAGCCAAGTGAACGTACAAGAGAAGACTCACTGCTCAAATGATAACGGCACATTATCTTTTCTCACATTTGGACTGTTTATGTTGGAAAAGGTATTATCATTTCAATGTACACGATACATACTGCCATCTGTCCGTCATGGGAGTCAGACTCATGATGAAGAGGCATTGTTGAAGCTTGAACATCAGTAAAAGTAAAAGACAACCACTAACACATTTCAAGTGTGCCAGCTTATTACTTATTTGGCATCAATTAGACTTTAAAAATGCAAAACCGTGAGCCAAAAAACTCTGTATTCGCAATCATTCAAATCGAGAATGCTTTCTTGGCAATCCTGTGTGACATGGAATGGATTCCCAAATCAAATAAAAGAGAATATCCTGATTCATTTGGAAAAAACTTCCAGTAACACCTAAAAATTATGGATCCAGAGCAAAACCAATACAAATAATGTGTGGTCAAGTTGTGGTTATTATGAGAAAATAGTGATTCACATGATGAAAATGAGGCTGAAAGACAAAGTGTTGAACATCCCAATGGATATTATCAGTTTCACCATCCTCTCCTTCAATGTTCGTCTAAAAAAATACCTCACGCATGTTTTTAGTAAACATGAATACATTCCTTTTAATTTTGATCCTCTTTACGTCCCCCATGACAGATTCCATTTGTCCCAACATCTGAAACAAACACCGTTTACCGGCTGCTAACTGGGTCAAACACCTTAATAAATCATGTTAACTAAATAACCGCCACCAGTCTTCTTTGAAGGATTTAGACACGGTGGATTTGTCATTCTCTGTGCACAATGCTGATTTGCATATGACTAATGTGAACACGGCGGAGGACAAGAGAATCACACCACCCCCTGTCATCGTGATCCTGGCTTTACGCTGGCGAGGAAGTGTGCATGCATGCATGTGTGTGTGTGTGACCATTTGCACGTGTCAGTGTAATGTGTGTGTTTTTGAGAGGAAGAACAAAGACTCCATCTGGTCCGAGCCTCTGAATGTGCCAGTATGAAACACTTCTGTCACTCTGAAGTCCCGTTTTAAAGCAGCTCGGAGGTGGAGTGGGAGAACAGCGAGGGGTCCTGTTTGAGGCAAAGACCCTATCTGAGGCCATTCTCTCCACCAGTGTGATTTGAACCACTCTCACCAGAGGACACACTCTCATTCATGCGGTGTGTGATGACTCTCCTCCCTTACCTTCACCTCCACGGCTCTCCGACACAGTGTAATTACTTTCTGCCACAAAGAGAGAGGAGACCCAGGCAGATTTCGGTGATAAGCTCCACCGGGATCAGAGAGCTTTATTCAGGGAGCAGCTGGGAGGAGCGAAGGCAAAGGTCACATCGTAGGAGGATATCTGAAGGAACAGGCTGAGACTTGGATTTGTAGAAAATCCTCCCAGCATCCCCCTCGACACCCCGCTGCCGTGAAATCTCCTGTCCAGTGCTGATCAAGAAGACCTGAGATAAGGGACAATAAAGAAAGTTAGAAAAGTAATTCTCTACTTTCTTACTCCTGAAGCAACAGAAACATCCTCTTCTGGGATGTCTTATCATACAAGTCCTGATGTGTGCCTTTAGGGCTGCAACTCACATTTATTTTCATTCCCAATTTATATCTCAATTATTTTTTCAATTAATTGTTTCATTGGCTAGCCTCTAAATAGAAAATCTCAATTTCCCTGAGCCTTAGGTCATGTTGAGGAAAAGGAAACAACCACCTAAATAATGAATAGTTGGTCAACTAATTTTCTCTCAATTAAATATTTGTATCCACAAATAATCTGTTTTCACAGCATGAAACTGATCATGGATCTCTACATGAAGATACATATGTTGATTTTACAGGCGAACAGTAACAGAATCGTGCTTCGTATTAATATTGGACGATGATGATGTCTTTACTCATGTGCTCTTCATTCCACCTTAAAAAAACTTAAGGTATTTTTGTCTGTGCTCTGCATTTCATTACAGAAGAGAATACACTTAAGTATGTCTTAAAGCTGCCTTAGTGCGTCCCATCCAGAGGCGTAACTATCGACGGTGCAGCCGGTGCAACGCACCGGGGCCCAGAGCCGGCCAGCGGCCCAATGGCATTGACCGGTTCACGCAGTCTTCAAAGTAACCAAGCAACCTAAATTAATTTGTAATTTGTCTGTCCAATGACCTTGCTCCCTTTCATGTCATGTGATACCTTGCGTGACGAGCGAACCATTTAATCAACCTGTACTGTAGCTAGCAGCAGTAAGTTCGGCAGCATTATAAAAAATGTAATAGCTTGCATTTATAATGTACAGCTAACCAAAGCACAAGAGCGGCACTCAAAAGAGAAAGGACAAGAGAGAACAAGGAGATGTAACAGCTAAACTGACAGAATTAGACAGTATGTTTTGTCATACATCGTCCACGAAATCGAGCGTTAACGTTAGCAATGTT